ACTTCGATCGCAAAATTTTTTTGAATAAAACTCATCATTTAGGCTCAGTATCACCCTCCATGAGTTTCATCTGGGTCCCATGCTCTGAAACTGAGATTCAGCGTATCCAAAAAATCCTGCCCCGCCTATGCCGATATGGCATGGTTTTATTAAATATAAATGATAATCATTTCAATATTTAATGACTCCACCTGTATCTTAAGAAACGAACTCGTCAAATTATAAGCATTGTGCTTGTTTTAATCATCTGCTTGAATTCAATACTAATGATAGGTTAGTTTATATCAATGAATAAAATAATTTTTTTTCATTAGTATTGATTTTGAAAAGTTTGTCAACGCAGCTCCAAAGAAGCTGAAATGTGGAACTCATACATCTATAGCTCCATTGTACTAATAGAAAATACATCAAATTATTAATATGTGAGAGATGTTAGTCGCTTCCTAAGAATAGTCGATCATCAGAGAAATCATCTGTCTTATTAAGATTCGCATTTTGACGAGAAAGTTTTTCTTTCATTATTTTTCATTGGCACTCTATTATTTATTTGTCTTCTTGCTATTCTTTTGTTATTGATTTCATTGTTTTCTATTTCGTTTTGCTTAATTTCCTATGAATTTTATTCTTATTCTTCTAGCATCTGATTTAACTAACAAGTAATTCTGTCACATCTGTGGGTGTAGAGAAGGGGAGCCCTAAAAACTTCGACTTAAAACTGGCATTCACCATTTTCTTCGAAAATATATGTGAGCTCCACACAATCTCTGATTCTAAGGGTGTGGGTGTGGGTGTGGATCGATGTTATAGAAAAGATTCACATCCACACCCACATCCACAGCCTCAGTTCGAATTCGCTCTTTTTTAGACAAACATCGAAAGCTGTAGACCATGACACCAATAGTTCGTCGTTGTTATCTGAAAATAAAAGGTTATCATATGAAGTTGATATCTCGAATTGCTCTTCAATGCAGCTTCCCACATGTAGTTGTGATGAATCTAAATAGAGAAAAAGAAGAAATAATTACTTGTAAAATCTTCATACTTACATTATTTCTGGTTTCATATTGAACTAAATAAAGAAAAAAATATGTATCTTTATATAAACAAGGAACACTTACTTTCAAGATGTTGTTGTGTTGAATCTAAAATGAAAAAAAAACCAATCATATATAAAAGTTTCATACTTACAATAGTTTTATTTTGATATTATACTAAATAAAGAAAATAAATATATACGTATAACAATATGAGATTCTTACTTACCTAAGACCTGTTATTCAGATAAATCTAAATAAAAATAAAAAAATATTTATTTATATAAATATAGTACACCTAATTTTAACATGTTATTCGGATGAAACTGAAAGAAAAAAATAAATAATTCTTTAGAAAACTTGAATGCTTTAATTATTTGGAGTTTAAGAATGAACCAGATAAACGAAATAAATTTACACATATCAATAAATAAGGGATACTTATTTTTACCAGGCTATTTCGATGAGTCGAAATGTAAAAAACACATAGAACAGATGTGGGTTGTACTTTTAAAAGATTACATACCCACATTCAGGTCACGCTCATACGTACTCCTCATATCCATGGAAAAGATCAAAAGATACACTTTCAATACATTTAAATAATTGCTCATTTCAACAAGTACAACCAATTATTAATGAATTTAAAAATGAATTAAAATTAACTCGAATAAAACAAATTGAATTAGAAAATCATATTAATATACTCGAAAGAAAAGTAACTTTTCTTCTTAAATTTATTAATAATAAAAATATAATGACATTAAATTATACAAAATTAAAAAATGAATTCAATCGAAATCATCAATTTATGTGTAATATTTGTAACGAATATATACAATATGAACAAATTTTACTTCATGCTTATTCAGGAGATTGTATTTGTCGTTCGTGTGCTTATTCTCAATATATTGATCGTTTTCAAACATGGAAATCTTCAAATGAACAATATTTGTCATCAGATTCAGAAGAGATTGATTGAATTTTTTTTAAAAAAAAAAATATTTTTATGTAATAAAGAAAGATTAGAATTTTTAATTCAATCATTTATATTTAAAAGAAAATTTTTCATTCAAAGTTATCTATTAAATATTGTTGAATACAATAGAAAAGATTTATTCTTTTATGGGAAAAAGAATCGTATATTTTGATGAGTCATAATAAGAAATATTTACTAATACAACAATGAATCAGTCGTAAGAGAATAAATAAATTCTATATTCAGAAAAGTGAATCACTATTTAACCCTGTATAAGAAAAAGAAAAGATCTTATTATCTATATGACTCATTGAAAAGAAGGCTAGATATTAATCTTGCAGCGCGTAAAATCGCTATTCAATCTAATAGTATTTTTAATTGTAAAATTGCCAAGAATACAAATTTTGCTCTTTTCTCTCATGCACATCCACACCTGATAATGATGTTATGTTTTGCTTCCTTAATCGACGAAGGCTCATCTATTGTGTCACCTTATTAGACACAACTTTTTTCGATACTTTCTGGTTTTGACATTGTTACTTTTCGATATTTAGCCCTGCGGCATTTTTCAATTCAGCCTTTCTACAATACATCGCAAGGGAATCATGTTTTTTCATCTTCTCTTTCCGATACCTCAGTCAGATGAAGTTGGATAAAGCTGAAAATTTCAGAATATATTTCAGCTGAATCGCCCTATACATTGCCATAGTTTCATTCGATTCAAAGGTTTCTTGACAATTTTATAACTGAAAAATAGGATCGTGACTAGACATGTACAGAATTAAGACTTTTTTGGTCCGAATTTCGACGGTCAAGATTGGTCTCGCATATGTCTACTCAAGTATTACAGGTACTAGAAAAAGAACACGATTAGAAACTGAACAAAATAGATAAAATCATGTTTTCAAATAAAAATTTAGTTTATTTAAAATGAAACAGTGTGTGAATGTGGGTTTGCAGTATTGAAATTGTTGAAGAGAAGGTCTCCATTCACTCACACACATTCACATCGTTTGCTCAAGTGTAGACTGGATGATAGGCATTTGACCGTGGATATCTTAATGTGTGTTTGAATATGATGTGACGAGAATAACGATAAAATTTGATATCTTACTTTCGTCACTAAATTGTCACGTATTGTGGGTCGATCGGATAAAAAAGTGAAGATATGAAAAATATCGATCTTGCTGAATATGTTGTGAATACAGAGACAATAGTTACAGAACAAGAACTAATGAGAGCGAAGAAAATGTGAAAAAGAAACACAACAATTGCCAATACTGAAGAAAAGAATCAACGTATATATATATATATATGTAACGTAGGAAAGTACGAAAAGAAAGAGAAGAATAAATCAAAGGGAAGTACATAATCATATGGTGAAGTTCTTAGACACAACTACAACTAAAGAAAAATCCCAATGGCAAATGTCAATACATCACAAATATATTCGTGCAGAGTAAAGTTTACAATGGTGAATCGATTTCTTTTAGGCTAATGATATGCATATCAGCTATCACTTTTAGTACACTCGTAACTTCAAAATAAAATCCTGGTATTAATAACACTTCATCTTCATTAGGATATGGATAATAATTTTTGATGGATTTTCCATTTTTACATTCAATTGTAAACACTGTGCGCTTACCCGACTGATGCATATAACCTTCTAATATTGATGCATCACGAGTTGTGATTGATACGCCCCACCAAACTTTACGCTGACCTTTAGAATATTCCTTACTGAAATCGATTTGAATAGCACGCCAAACTATTCCTTGGAACGATGGCAACTTATGCACAGCTGTCATGAATAATTTCAAATATGGAAGCTATGGTTTTATTTTATGTCTGTCTTCCGAACGTAGTATGGCATTGAATATCTTATAGAGAGAAGTTTCTCCCCATTCCATGCCAAAGATTATAAGAGAAGCCGACTCATCTCGTGTTAATCCATCTGTAGACTCTGCACAATGCTTTTTAGCAATAGCTACATGTCCTCGTAAATCCTCTATTAGATGATCAACTGGTTTCAATGCTTCTTCTAGAGACTTTAGTGGTTGCTTTTCATAACCACTCAAAGGTGTGTTTACAGTTAGTTGAGTCTCATTAGCATTGGCCAATTCTAACCTAAAACACAAATATATTTCGAAGAGTAAAAGTCGTATTATCAATAATTTAACTGGAGGAACTTACATTAGTAATGATTTTTCTTGTTCAATCTCTTTAATCAACTCATTTGACCGAGTGACAATCGCTTTGACCTGTAATATAAAAGCAGAGTTCAATTTGTCCTTCCAGACGTTCAGATCTTCTGTACAAGTCGATTAATTTATATGCCACCATGTAATTCGTTGACAACATTATAATCTTGTGAAATCCGAATTTCTGAACTTTCCAGAGAAGTAAATTCATTGTTTAGTTAGGTTTGATACAAAACTACGTGAGATTTGCTGACTTTGAACCTGATTACATCATTTTTGACAAAAATTAATTCTTATCGCTCAGTAGTGCCATAGTGTATTATAAACTATTTAGGAAGGCTCTCTAGTTTGTTTTTGCAGTATTTATTTTGAAGAAAGATTCTTTTCAATATTAAAAGTCACCAACCCTTCTTAAAAATCTAACGGATGACCCATAAACAATGAAGCTCAGAGTATTTTGCATAGTTTTCAGCAGCAATTCAACAGAATCGAATAAATTTTTCCACAAAATTCGTTGTTTAATTCCCTATATAACTCCATCTTACAGTTCGATATAAAATTAAATAAAGTATTGTCCAAGGAGAAAAAATATCATGTAAATATGAGACAGAGAGGAGAAGAAAATATTTTGAAATGGGTACGAGCCAGAAAGAGTCCCAGTTTTGGCCTCTAGTCTGATTTCGTGAGACGGCCAATCATTCTGTCACCTCCATCTATACAGATATCCACGTACGCCCACACTCAAGTGATTCTACTAACTTTTATATAATTTTTTGCCCATTTTTCATTTGCTTTTTTGTCCATACAATATAAAAAAATGCTTGTCGGCTGTGGCAAATCATGAATTTCAGGTACAGTTTTTCGTCCGAATTGTCCATTGACAACTAAAATTATACGATCATTATTCTTCTGATTGATAGACAACTACATTCTTCGGCTTCGTCAAATGTTTGAAAATCATCTTTGAACAAAACGCCCAACTCTTCTTATGTTGCTACATTTTCTTTTGACTTGTTAACATTTGGATCGAGCCACAACAAATACAAGAACGATGTTGTTATATGCATTGTAGCCGATGCAGTAGCAACAGTTCCAGTTTCTAAAAGATTATTCATTTCTTCAGGAGTAAGTATGATTTCTTCACAAGAAATAATATACAAATTATCAGCTGGAATTGATTGTGATTTAACTCGTATACAGGTGCCAGGCGGTAAAATAGTCTCACTTTCGTCTGGATAATGCGAATGGTTCTTAATTATCTTTCCATTATAACATTTAACATTAAATAATGTTCGATGCTTCTTTTTATTGAGAAATGCATCAGTGACATGCACTTGGTCTGAACATGAACTAGCAGCATGCCATATATGGATGCTACCTGAACTATATTGATCGCTCAGATTGGCAGTAACACCACGCCATAAATTATCTTGAATTGATGGCAACTTATTTAGTACGGACGTAAACAACTTATAATAGTCATAAAAGGGTACTGCTTTTGTGCGATCTTCATCACGTAATGCACCATTAAATCTCGTATAAAATGAAGTTTGAAGTGAGTATAGATATAATGCAGCAGACTGATCTTGTGTGAGACCATCTTCAGCAGTGTCCAAGGACTGAGAAATAGGAATTCCTAATTTGCAGAGGAGTTGTCAGTGTAGCTATGATAATTCCTTGGGGAAATGGGAATTGACCATTATTTTCATCACAGTTCCCTCATTCATGAAAGTCAAGATAATGCTTTTTTTGCAATAATTTTCGTACTCATACGTTCATATGCACAAATTTCTTGATGAAAACGAGTGTAAGAGTAATAAGTACCGTAGATATTGTATTTTTTTAATTTTAACATTCAAGGAAATGTCAGGGAACTGAGTAGGAATTCCTATTCCTCAGTCCTTGGACACTCCTTCCCATGCTTGACGGAATTATGAAACTTCCAAGACTATTTTACGAATGAAAGACATGACATTTCTCTATGTACGAACACTCACTTTCGATTGTTCCTTTTTTTAGAGTGTGTGCTTCGTCGTTAAATGAAAATTGAGAATGAATGCCTGTTTCGCATTGTAAAAGAAATAATAAAAAACCAACTTTTTTCTGCGTCAATGTTCGTATGTAAGTAAAGTTTGATTTACTCGAAAGTAAATGTCAATATAGATTTTAAGACATTTTTTTTCGATCAACTATCCAATGAGAAAATATAAAAAACTCGTGTTACATTTAAACAGTTCATCAACAGTTTTTTTCTTCTGACTGAGACTCATCTTTTTGCGATTTCGAGCTTTTCGCTGAAAAGAGAAATTCCATTATCCTCTATCAATCGACTTACAAATAACAATAATAACAAGTTTATCTACATATCGAAATATGATTTGCAACTTAAGAGTTGTTTTTGTATTCGAAAAATTTGCAAAAATGAAGGATATTTTTAAAGTTGTATAAAATTACATATTTCTGTTCAATATGCTTCATGTAAATGATCTCGATTTCGCTTTACCACACGAAGATTTTGAATGATCAATTCTACGACAGTCTACAATAAGCCGATGAATAGGCATGAACTCAATAATTTATTGTGACTTAGTGTTATTCGTTGATGTGCTCAAACAAATAACTAAAAGACAAAGCATACTTCATTCACAACTGTATTGATATTATATACATGTCATTCGAATGCTATTATGCACCGTTCAAAAATTGATGAAATCGATCGTGAATGTCTAAATGACGAATGATTAACTGGTTGAATACGCATTTATTGAATCAAAGAATAGAATGAACTGAACAAATATTTCCATTAACTCATGTTTATATCGGACTTTTCCAATTGAAAGCATCGTTTGAGAAAGGCGTTGATTTGTTCTAGAAGGCTTAGATATTAGTTATATGATGAATTTTTGAAACTAATAATAAACTTACGTATAAATTTCAGTTCGATTTTACGATAGACGAACGGATAGTAGAATATTAAGCCGAATAGAATAAGAATCAAAGCAACAAGAAAACCAATATTCGGATTGGAAATTACCGGCGAAATAACCAGATAGATGGAAATTAGAATAATGATGATAATCAACGGTATTGGAACCTTTATAGAACCAAATTTGTTGTTTATTTGATTAGAAAATTGGATTTTACTTACACTAATCACTCGGTCGACTTCTTTTTTCGTAAATTTACAACACAGAGTGGCAACAAATGTTAATCCATAGAACATCCAAGCGACAAAACTGAAAAATTCGATCAATGATTGAATATTACTCGGAATGCAATAAACCATCGAAAGTATTCCCTATAAATATTTAGAAATCAATCGTCTATTAACAAGAATTATATGTTGCTTCAACCTCGAGAACAATTGCAGGCAATGGTGTCAATCGTTGCTTTTGAATACAAGCAAATACTTCTGGTAAATAGCCGTAACGAGCACCAACCATACAATAACGGCCACTCATAAATAGAGATCCATTGCAACCACCCAGTGCGCTGATAGATATGAGAATGGGTAGAATACGAACGACAGGACCGAGAACAACATTTCCCCATGTCTATTGAGAAGAGAGTTATGAAAAAACTAGTAGTTTAATTTACAGCTTACCACAGCGACAGCATCCGAACTAAGCAATGTCGCTTTATCCATCACTGTGAAATAGGATATGTTCGTAAGCAGATATATGACGATGATAGATGGTAAAGCCAAAATAATGGCAAGCCATAGATTTCTATGAAAAAGAGCATGGAACAATGCATACTGGTTATTTTAGTCTTTCAAAAGGATAATGCTTGGATACGATCGAAAATTCATCGTCATTCGTAAAACTGTTCAATCTAGTTAAACTGAAAGGCAATATATTTTTTTGCGAATCTCTACGTAGTTTGTGTTATTTTTTATCCGAATATTCTCAAGATTCGCAGAATGTATTCGTCATCGCTGAGACAATTTTCATCGAAAATAATTCGCTCGTGGAATAAGAAGAAAGAAATCATTTTGGTAAAAATTATTTTTATAATGCCAATATAATATTTGATGCTTGTATTTACTTTAGATATGGAATCGTCTGGTTTAGTATATTTTCAAATATTAGAAAATTTCTTTTTCACTAGCCTTTACAAAATATAATTTCCTGTAGAACTATCTTGAAGGCGAAGGTATTCGGTCGTCTGCCGAAGATATTAGGTATAAGAGTGGTGATGAGAATCAATGATTATAGTTTTATCAATCTCATCCGAACTCACATATCTATATTGTTGTTTAGTTGACGACTGATCAATCAAAATGTTTTAATACTTCGGTAATTAAGTATCAAAGCATGTATAGATGATATAGAAAAGTCGTTCTTTTATTTAAAAAAGGCTGAAAAGAAAATTTGTCGAGCAATATTGTAAACATAGACGAATTTAACTAGTCCATAGAAAGCATAGAAAAAAATCTCCATTATAAAGCAATTCATTTTTTTAGCAAAATGACTGAAGTTTGAGTTTCAACATTCTAAAATCCAAAGTTTTTAGGCACATGCATAATAAGCATATTCTTGAATAAGTTATGACCCCATCATTTGGACGAACTTTTTTCTTTAGAAAATCTCGATATCATTCTTCATTGCTTATAGAAGAAACATAGAAAAGTCGAGAGTTCCTCAAGCGATTCATCTGAGTCGAAGCATCATTGCTAATAGTAGTATATCAACTAATAATTTTAGTCTTTATATTTGCGACCTCAATGCACAACATTATAGCCATACTTCCGAGTAATGAAGCTCAAAAATATATAAGCCAACAATCTTATAACTGATTTTGACGATCGACTATACAATCTTCGCAAACTCGTAAGTTTGACGAAATTAGATCCTATTCGAACGGACTTTTCTCAATCATCGAATAGAAAATTTATATTCCAAGAATGACCACTACTCAATTACTTCTTTCTTTCAATTCTAAACCACGTCCAGATTTTTATATGTTTTGTAATCTACGAAAAAGTACGATGAATTATTCGGATTGCATAAGAATAAATTTTCATCTAATCAATATTCTGTACCTTTTCGGATTTTTGAGCTCCTCTGTTACTGCATTCAAACAATTCCAACCATCGTACGCCCAAAGCCCAGAATAAAAAGCAAGTGCAATGCCCAATGGTTTCTTTGTTGTACCTATAGTAGAAAATATTCATGTGAGACTCTTTTCTACTTCATTGTACTGACCCGCAAATCCATTCTGTAGATTTTGTGTGTATCCTATAAAAGTATATAGTACATCAAAAATTTCACTTATGATATGTGTCCTTTCGATTGATACACAAACCTTGTCCGAGTCGAATAAGACCAACAATGATGATCGTTAGAACAGTAAGGAACTTACATATGACAAACACGATATTCAAACGATTTGCTGCTTGTACACTAATTGAATTGATACCGATAAGGATCACTAAACGAGAAAGCAAAAGTATGACGATGGCTTATTTGAAAATTGACGCACAAAGTGTAACGATAGATATTATCTTAATGAGTTTTTCGGATGGATCATGATCTAAACGAAAGATTTGAAGTATAACATTACATTGGCAATAAAATAAATTACCATTCATTATTCCAAATACAAGATATTGTGAAAAAGTAAGCGCAACCACAGCAATACCTGTTGGTTGGAGAATGAATATAGTTGACCAATTGAATATAAAAGCCAAAATTTCGCCGGTTCGTTTATGAACGGAACCAATACCTGTGGTTATCAACAGTTCCATGATTTATTTTTTCGAGACTTTTTAGGCTTTTTCTATCAAACTCTTCTATATCTGTTATTATCAGACGGAAAGACTAGACCGAGAACAAGTATCTAGTTGAGAGTGCGAACTAATTAACTCTTCTAAACCATGATTCTCTTTTGGTACAGAAAAAATGTATTATATAGACTCCCTAGATAAATCTCCCCAAAAAAATAAATCTTGGTAGTCCTTCCCATGCGGTCACTATGGAAATAATGGATGCAATTACGTGATAATGCTGCTTATTTCATGTAATTGCATCATTATTCGACTACATGGGTCATGGATATATGTTTGATTGTCTGTCACGTCGAATGAACACGTTGTTTTTTTTCACAAAATAAATGCATAATACCTTCTTGAATATAGGAGAGCTCTGCGCCACTCAGCGGTATAACCGTACCAATTTCCGCATAGCATAAAGCTCCTAGAAATATGTAAATGCAAAATTTTGAGACATTTTATAATGTAATCAGATAAGATTAGATGCGTCATTATTTTAATGGAAGAATTGACGAGCTATACATATGTGTTTCGACTGATTTAACAATACATACTAAGGAAGATTTTTATGTACCGTAGAATGTACTTTCAGAAAGAGTTTTTCGCTTATATATAAAGGTATAGTCACAAGTTTCAATCATAACTAATTTCGAGATTTCCTACCTTAAGAATAAAAATGTCTGCTTCACTGATGAAAAGAAAACATGCTTTCATCGGAGAATCGGTATGGCATCTATATTCTGGAAAGAATTGAATATGATTTGGATTAAAATGAGAATCTACCATATAAAAGGTTCTTGATTGTTTTTAAGAGTGGGGGAGGAGCTAAAAATGGATGCGAGTGTGACTTTTCAATCTTGAATTAAAATAATTATTATTATTTCATTTAGCAGTCAGGTAAAATAGTTTTGTTTGTTATTCAATATACTACGAAATTAATATCTTAAGCTAGATAACTATTCGTTGTTTGGATTTGAGCTTTGTTATATTTTGAAAAGTTCTCTGTCATAATGTTCTCTAAGAGGGACAGTCAGTCATAACGGATTAGCGAGATTCAGTGTACCATGAAGTAAGCACAGCATGTTTGTTGTCTGTCAGAAGAATGTGGCGGGTGTGTAGATATTGATGTATGCAATAGAAGGCAAAACTCATACTCACACAGCCACAAGATAGTTTCAGAAACTATTAAATAGATTTTCAGCGTGAAATATTGTGAGTTCTAGCTCCAAAGCAAAAAGTTCTGAAAGATAGCATTTTTATATGTGAAAACATCATGCATCCAATGCCATCGTCCTTTCGACATAGAAGTAATTGTTCTGCTTACCAATTAGCACAATAAGGCCACTAGCTACCCAAATGATAAGGCATAAACCAATCGATTCACTGTAATATAGAACACCTTTCGGTGAAACGAATATACCTGTACCTTGACAGAAAATTACTCTTGAAGAAATGTATCAATCTTGTTAGCATTGTGTGCACTTACCGATGACAATTCCAATAATAAAACTTATTCCTGAGAAGAGACTTAAATTTCTTTTGAGAACTGTCTTCTCTATCCGTGAGACAATCCCTGATGCATCTTCATTTGTTTCTAATCCATTTACCAAACCTTGATTGGTAGCTGAAAGAGAATTAATGAGTCGTTGATTGATATCTGGTTCGTCAACTGGAAGTGAAGAAGGACAAGACGACGAAGTAGCAGTTTCTATTTGATTTTTCTAAAGTTTGAACTATGTTTGTCAGTCATTTCATTTTTGTTTATTACCTGCACGAACATGTGATGAAGAGAACTCCGCAAATTTTTCTTTTAACAGGTGATAAAAAAGCTTTTGATAATGTTTTCACTCACTAGATATACTTATCTCAAGATTCATATATTTGGCCAATGGAAAAGAATAACAACAAACAGTGTAAGTATATACGCGCAGGTAACTGTTATCTTGACAGGACTTACCATCGGTTGGCGTTACTCAAGTGAGAAACATGATACTATTATACGTTAAAGTATCTTAAGAGAGAGTTCATGAGAGGATGGTGTGTAGGTGTGGTTGAACTGAAGAGTCACATTCGCACCCTTTGTTTGTAAGTTTTTAAACTGATTTTTTTGCATATTTCTGTATAAACAATTCATATACTTATTCATATAGTTTTTGTGCAGCAGTATCTTTTAATTTTCGTTTAACATTTTGATTCTGATTTGTTTCATAATCATTTAAATATTCTGTTTTACATTTTAAAATAGTTGAAGCAGAGCCAAGTAAAATATAATATCCTTCAGCTAATATACATTGTGATAAACCATTACCATTATTACTATCATAAATTAATTATATTTTTTCTTGCGAAGTAAGCTCGTGTTGTGATATCATTCTTTACTTCACATGTACAGTAACCGAATCATAAATAAAATATACTTACCCGTAATGTATAAGAAACAGATGACAGAGAATAGAAAGAGGTCAAAAAAGTCATATTCACATTAGAGAGGGCATTTCCATCAAAAATCACTCTGTCGAACTCGAATTCGTTCATAATAATGAAGTGTTCACTAGTAGAGGTTCTACTATAATAAAATATGTATTATGATGAGTGAAAGATGGTGTTTTTCGATGAACTGAACTGAAGCTATGTTATTAAGTACAAATGAATTCTATTACAAGAATATTTTCTAATAATATTAAAGAATTAGATGTATTACACTTTTGATAAAATATAACTTTTTAAAGATGAAACATTTGATCTACTACTCAGAAATAATTAGTTATATTGATTCATATTATTTTATGTATATTGAACAATAAAATTGTTATAAAAAAAATTTAATCAATAAATGAAAATTTGAGAGTAAAAACTACAGAAAAAAAAACAATGAAACTTGGTACAACAGTTTAATATCTTATTTCACCGTGAAAACAATCTATCTCAAAAGAATCCTAGTGAGGTTTGTTACTAATATCACAGGGCACGTAATTGAAAATATTAGGTTCTCGATCAATAACAATTAACACCTCTATAAAATGCTTCTGTAAAAAGAATCACATTTTTGCTTTTTTCATTATGTTTCAAGAGACCTTTTTTTCGACACTTTTTGTTAGAACACTGATTAAAAAGTTTTAGAAAACATTTTCAAAGAAGTAATAATGTATAATTAGATGTGTCTTGATCTCCTCTTTCTAAAGGTGAAAATTGAGACTTTCTATCTTGTTTCTATCAAAAGCTATTTAAAAAATACCAACTCGTCTTTGTTTTTGAAACAGGCATTAGTTTTTCTCTTTTTTTAGGCTGATGTATACCCACAATAACTAGCATCATTGCTACTTCTATGAAAAGAAATTCTTCACGATCATGCGAAGCAAAAAGAAGAATGTGCTCTGTTCGTCGTTTTGTAATGATATAACTGAAGAGCAAAGAAATCCACTACTTTTTAATAGATAGTAAATGTAAGAGAATCGAGAAAAAGATTTATTCTTATCTTATAACTCTCACTACTACTGACGTGTTTGCGTACTTTTTCAAGTTTATTAAAGAAATGAGAAAAGTCCATGAATTTTTCTTCCACTGTATATCAGCTTTCTTCTTAAACATTTGTTGTCACCATAATATTTTATCGTTTGTACACATCATTTGTCTACAATTAGACTTTCATTTGGTTTCCACATCAGTTCCATTGTTATTATATGTTCCAAATTTTTCTTCTTGTTGAATTATTTTTTCTAATTGCAAAATGTACTAATATTATCTGATCCACTTTCGTTTTACTTTGTACGTTTCAGGATTGAACAATAATGCTAGGTCATATCGG